AAAAATTTTCCGACGTTGCATTTTTCTCTCTCTCTTTCGCCGGAAGTGAAATAATTTTTTTTTTTTCGTTTCGAAATGAATATGCGTTATCATTATTTTCGTCTTATCATTAACCAACACACTCGTTTGTCATAATGTCAACCGAATTGATCCGTAATTATTATTATGTGTGTGATTAAAAATTGTTTTGACGTTTATTTATAATTGATTTTTCTTTTTTTTAAAAAAATTAATTAATAAAAATAAAAAATAACGATTGAATTTTTTTTCCTTTTTTCCTTTTTTTAAAACCTTTGACAATTAAAAAAAAAAAAAAAAAATAAATCCGATATAAACGAAGGGAATTAAAAATTAATTATTATTTGTTCGCATACAAAAAAATCTTTTTCACCATTCGTATTCGTATAAAACGAATTTTGTAAACTATTTTAGTGAGAGAGAGAGAGAGAGAGAAAGGCCTCGAGGAAAAGAAGTTTTGAAAAAAAAGGTTAAAAAAGGATTTTCAGACTTTCTCATTAACTTCTTATTTTCCACGGGAGCACCCGACAACAGAAATTTTTACCATTCGGGTGTTTAATTACTTTTTTATTTATCCTTTTACCGTGTTGCTGCTGTTGGTTGTTTTATACACATTTTATATAAACCACGACATGATACAAACTTGCTTGTTTATCCCCAAGCACATATTCTTAAGAGCGAGAGAGCAAGAGAGAGAGAGAGAAAGAGACTCGTTTGAAAATTTCTCTTATTTCATACGAATCGCCCGTAAAATTAAATTAAAAAATTTTAACGGAAAATTTCTTTTTTTTAATGAGTTACGTCGTCGCTTTTAATTTTTAAACATCAAAGAAAATAATAAATAAATAAATAAATTTTTTATTTTTAATTATTTAAATAAATTATATCAACCGATGAATTTTATTTAACCGTTTTCGAATTCGTTTAAATTTTTAATTAACGTATATAGGAGGAACCGATATGAAAAAAGTGAATTTCTGAACGCGCATTCGTAATAGTAATTCACATGTGACGTCACACACACGCCGCGCTTTTACGCGTTCGATATTAAATTAAAAATGGCGGATCTAGTGGAAAAGAAAAACCGTTAGATTTTCCGTTTGTTTTTGCATTTTTTTTTTTTTTTTGAGGGGGATTGGGGAGACATTAATTGCGTTATTTTTTAGTTAGTGAAATTAAAAAAAATTTTTTTTTTTTATAATTCGCGATTTGAGAATTACGAACGTTTTCTCTTCCTTTTAATGTTCGTAAAAAAAAAAGAAAATAAAAGTTTTATTTTACGATTATGGGATGTATATTGTATACGAGTCAAATCCCAAAAGTAATAAATTAACAAATACAATCGGGGGACGGGGGGAGGGGGAAAGGAAAAAAAACGAAAGAAGGGCAACATCCGGAAAATTTAAGTGAAAAAAATTGTTTTAAAGACTTTTTCCCCGTTTGGAGTTAAAATTATGCATGGGATTTTAATATGTAAAATTATTATCATTATCATTACAAAATTTTCTTTTTTTTCTTCTACTGCAGAGAGAGAGAGAGAGAAAAAAAGGTTGATGGTAATAATAACGAAAACAAAAAACTTAATTTTTAAATAAAAAAAAAAAAAAATTGCAATGAATCCACCACCATATTGAAAGCTTTCAAGAGAAAAAAGGAAAAAAAATTTTTTTTCCATTTAACGATTTTCCATTTTGTGTTTTTCTTTTCTTTTTCCATTTTGTATTTACATTCCAATGTTATTTGATTTTCTTTTCATTTTTCTTTTTTCTTCTTTTTCTTCATTTTCATCTTTTTTTTATTTTTTGTCAACTTTTTATTCGTCGAATTTTTTTCTTTCCTTATTTAAATTCAAAAAACGCGCGCGGATTTTAAAAAAGATTGACTCGTGAAAAAGGTTTGCGGATATTCGATAAAAAGAATAAATCCCCTCCCTCCCCCTCCCCTTTCCTCCCTGTTTTTTTTTGTATTCCTGTCAATCCTTTTTTCCCTTTCCATTTTTCAATGAAAAGTTGAGTTAATAATGATTAATTAAATTTAAAAAAAAGATGGCGGACTACAATTGCAAATTCTTTTGAAAAATCACGTGTGTGTGTGTGTAAGTGAGAGAGAGAGAGAAAAGGTTTCGATGTTGTCATCATAGTTTGTCAAATTTAACTATAATAAAAAAGAACTTTAATAATTTAATAAAAGTTTTCACCTTTTCTTTCTCTTTCTTTCTCTTTTTTTTTTTTGTTTTTAAAAAATCGAAAGTGAAAATGTCTCGAATTCTTATTAATCGCGTAAAAAAACTTTTTTTTTGTTTTGCGCGCGCTTCTAATAAACTTCAAAAACTTTTATTTAAATGCAAACCTTTTTAAATAAAGTTTAAAGAAAAATAAATTTTTCGGTCGGCCATTTTTAAAAGTTTTTTTCGAGTCGTTTTCCGTTTTGTCGGAATTTTTCCTTAAGTTTTTTTTTCTCCAGGTTTCTTATCCTTTTAAGGAATGAATACCTGGCGAATAGATTTTAAGGTTTTTCAGGTTTAAATACCTTGCAAATCAATTATTTTTGGTAATTTTCCTCGAGCTTTTATCATTTCTTAACAAGATGCGACCGTTACTTTTAATACTTAGCTTATCGTTAATTTTCTCTAAAATTTTCTTTAGAATTTTCTTTAGAATTTCTTCAAAATTTTCTCTTATTTTATTATTATTATTTTTATTAAACGAAATAATTTTGAATTAAATAACTCTAAATTTCTCTCTTTCTCTTTCTTATACCCTCTCACTCTTTTTTTCTATAGTCTCAATTTCTCTCTCTCTCTCTTTTTCTATCTTTTTGTTTTTTTTTTCTTCTTAACACCTCCTCCCACGATTCAAATTTTTTTTTTTTGTTTTGTTTGTTCATGTTAGAAAAATATTTGGAAAAACATCACCTTCGAACATGTCAGATAATTTACTTAAGAGAAAAAAGAAAGAAAAAATTGAATTTATTCGGTTTTAGAAAAGATTTCGATAAAATTTTCAAAATTTTTGTTCGTATTTCAACCGATAAACCGATAAGCAAATAAAAAAAAAAAGAAAAAAAAAGTGAATAGGATAAACTTACGTTTTGGATCGAAACCCGTGACGAAACCTGGACATGAAACGTTTGCTGTTGTTCCAGCTGGTGTATCCGGCCAACATGACCAACCGTCAAATGTTCCCTCGCAGTACAAACCGCCTGGTAAGCAAAACAGAAAAAAAAAAAACAAAATTAATCTAATATTATAATTTTCGACGTTGTTTCAAAGACTAAACAAAACAAAAACAACAACCAATAACAAAATTTGCGGGCATCCCGTTTGTTTTTCTCTATTTTTGAAACCTAAAAACGGGAAAACCTAATTATAAAGGAACAAATAACAAAAAAAAAAAACTATCGAACGTTGATCAAAGTTCTAGAACAAATTTTAATTTTACTCATTTAAATGATGATAATTCGATTTAAGGTTAATAAAAAAAAGGTTTTCTCTTCTTTGTCTAGTAAATTTTCATTCGATGTATTCATCATCATCATCATCATCATCATTATTATTATCATTTCATTTTATTTTTTCTAAACCGGAAATAACATTCATTTTGTTTTTTTTCGGCGCGTGAAATTTCGTGTGGTGTCGAATTAACAAACCGACAAATTTTTGATTAAAAAATTCCGGAGCTTTTTTTTTTGGAGGAGAAGAGGGGAGGGAGGAGAAAGGTAAGGAAGAGGAGGAGGGGTAGAAGGAGGTGGAAAACAAATGCGACGAACAATTTTTTACAAAAAAAAAAATTTTTTTTTAAACAAAAAGTTTAAATAAAAGCCAATTTTGTTAAAGAAAAAAGAATTTAATTCGCTTAAGAGGGAAGAGGGGATGAGAGGGGAGGAAAAGAAGGGACGGGAGGGAGAAGGGGAGAGAAAGAACCGAATAAAAAAGTTTTAAGAGGAAAATAAAAACATTTGATAAAAACTTTATTAAATTACTGTTGTTGCTGTTGCTGCCGTTCGTTCGTTCCCTGTTGTTGTTCTAAAAGTTTTAGTTAATAATAATAATAATAAATTTTTTTTCGACTGGATTCGAAGTTTCGAATTTATAAAAAACGTTATCACAGGTGATAACAAAAACTACCACGTTTTTTTTTCTCTCTTTCTTTGAATGCTTTGAATAAAAAAAAAAGTCGTGGCAAAAGAAACAATAACTTTTTAATTTCTTTTATTTTCTTTTATTTATTTACTTATTTATTTATTATTATTATTATTATTTTAATTTTATTTATCGAAAGAATATATGAATAAAAGAGTAAAAGAAGAAGAAGAAGAAGAAAATAATAATAATAATACTATTGTTTTTTTTTTTTTTTTTTTAAAATAAAAAACAATATCGTGATTATATTTTTCCGCCATATTTGTTTTTCTGCATCATCAATCTCATTTTCAATTATTTTAAAAAACAATTTTTTTTTCCTTCTTCTTCTTCTTCTTTTTTGCTCCTTATATTTAAAAAAAAAAAAAAAGAAAAGAAAAAAAGAAGAGAAATATATAAAACCTTAACGAAAACCTGAAGTGAGTGAAAGAGGGAGAGAGAGAGAGAGATAAATTATTTGAAAAAAAATTTTCTCTCTCTCACATTTTTTTTTTATAATAAAATTTTTTTTTTTTCGAATCGCTTTAGGTCAAATATTATTATTATTATTTATTTTAAATAATAAAATTACATAAAAAACCGCAAAAACGTCATGCGAATATACGAAAGAGAGAGAGAGAGGGGGGAGGGAGAAAACACGTACAAAAAAAAATGGGAGAATTTTTTTTTATTAAAATAATAATAATGATGATGATGTAAGTATCCTTAAAAGTGAGGAGGGGAAGGAAGTAAATAGAAAAGAAAATGAAGAATTTCAAACAACAGGGATTCCAACTTTACGAAATTAAAAAAAAAAAAATTTTGATGTTTCCCTTACAAATATAATTTTTATTTACTCTATGATATTTGCCGCGGTTCGTAACGGTCGAGAATAAAAGAAAAGGAAATATAAAATGAAAATGAAAAAAAAAAAAGAAAATTTTTAACTCGTCCCGCGGTTATTATTATCATTATCATCATTATCATTATTCTTTGAGGAATAATAAAAAATATTTATTATTATTTTATTACCCGTGTTAAATATGTTTGTTTTTACCTTGCGGTGATTTTTTTGAAATGAAAATCCGCCGCCATTTTTTTTCTTTTTATGACGTTTTATTTTTCCCGCGTTTTTTTTTTTGTTTACGTAAAACATATTACGTGAGTGTCATGTTAATATTTTGTCGTATTTTGTTTTGTTTTTCGGGGGAGTCAAAACAAAAAAAAAATGAAAGGATTTATAAAATTCCCAAAAACCGTTTTTTTAAATAAAATAAAATAAAACAGGAAAAACCACTTTAAAATATTTTTTTGTTGACTCCATTGAAGACCGCAAATTCAAATAAATTAAACGATTTAAATTTTTTTTTTTTGTTTTTTTTTGCTAATTTAAAAAAAATAAATAAATATAAATTTTCCAAAGTGGAATGTTTAACCGGAAAAGGAAGGAATTTTATATTAAAAAAAACCGTTATTTACACGTGCGCATAAATAATTATACGTACGTACACACCCTCACACACATTAAAAATAAAAAAAACAATTAAAAAAACGTGGAATTAGAAAAAAAAATGAAAATTATACACACACACAATAAATGAAAAATCATTCAATTATTATTATTATTATCATTATTATTATTGTTATTAACGAATCGAAAATTTTTGGTAAAATATATTAAAAAAAAATTTATTTTAATTTTCCGCTTTTCCTTCTCCTCTTCCCCCCCACCCCCCGGCTCCATTATTTACAAGTTAAAAAAATTTTCTTTTTTTTTTTTTTGCCTTGACGTACGACATTCAATTTTATTCAAATTGAGTAAATTTTTTCTTGTGACACGACGAAAAAAAAAAAACTTTTATTCAAATTTTGTTTTTCTATTCAAGACGAGAATAATAACATCCGCCGTTGTTTTTGTTTTTTTGTTTTTTTTTTTCTATTTATTGAAAAGTACAAAACGCATAAAATTATTATTATTATTATTTTTGGTACATTTCGACACGCGTTTATTATTATTATTATTATTATTAATATTACCGTAAAATATTTTATGTGAATTAAAAAAAAAAAATGAAAAACATAAACAAAGAACAAAATATCGAACGAAGGAAGCCATTTTGAATTTTCATTTCATCTTCTCTTTCTCTTTGATTTTGTACGAAATTATTGATGCCCGGTAACTTCCGGTAATAATTTTTTTTCTTTTCTCTTCGAAACGCCAAAAGGAAATAATAACAACAACAAATAATAATAATAATAATAATAATAGACGGTTTATGTACGACAGCAAAAATTTATCCGAGTTTGAAATAAAATTTTTCGAAATAAAATAAAAAAAAATAGAAAATTTTTTTTCCCGCGTTTTTTTTTTAAATTACCCGGGGAGGGAAGGAGAATGTAAATAAGGAGATAATCCTTAAGAGTATCTAAACAAAGCCTCCGTGATTTTCTTTTTAAAAAAAATTTTTTTTTCTTCCTCTCTTAAATTAATTTTTTCCACGTACGTAACGACGACGATGCCGTCGTTTTAAAATCCGCCATCTTTGATTTTTTTTTTTTTTATTATTTTCTACCGTAAAAAAAAAAAACCGTAAAATTTTAATTTTTTAATAAAAAAATGATAATAATAATAATAATACTAACAATTATTAACGTGGCACGAGATCATTTAATTCACTTCTGTAATATAATAAGATTATTTAATTTATTATTACGAGTATTCATTTTTTAAATAATAAAATATTTTAAAACCGTATAAGTTTTCCTCTTTCATTTTTTTTTTTATTCGTCATTATTAAAATAATAATAATAATAATAGTGATGATAATAATAATAACGTAAAGGTTTGAATTTCTTAACGCGCGTTTGTATTTTCCAGAAAAATCGGAAATTTTCATTTGAAAAATATTTCTTTACATAAATATTTTTAATATAAAAATATTTCGGATAAATATAATAATAATAATAATAATAATAATAATAATAATAATAAAAGGAAAAACGTGACGAGAACGAAAGCGAAACCGGAAACGGAAGCAAAAAAAAAAGAAAATTTTTTTTTTTTTAATATCATAACAAATATCGGGGAACGATAAAAAAAAGCAAAATGACGAGAGTAAACGCAAAAAAAATTTCGAATTCGTTGAAAAATTTTTTCTTTTTTAATGTGCGTGTGTAGAAACTAATCCCATCTCTCACTCTCTTTCTCTCTCTCTCTCTCTCTCCCTCTCTACTTTGCCTCGACCTCCGTTTATCTTTTTATTTCCCTACCTTTGTCTCTTTCTCTTTCTTTGCCCCTCTTCTATTTTTCTATCTTTCTCCTCTCTTCCTCTCTCTCTCTCTCTCTCTCTCTCTCTCCCTCTCTTCCTCTCTCTCTCTCTCTCACCATCACCATCGTTTATACAACATCCTCTTCAATATTCTCTATCAGTCTTTATTTTTAATATTATTGTTATTGTTTTTATTCAAACGAGCAAAAAAATTAAAATTAAACGGAAAATATTTTTCTATAACAAAAAAAAAAAAACATTAAAGCGAAAAGGCAAACAACAGTTTGTTTGTTTGTTTTTAAATTAAAGAAATAAAAAAAGAAAAAAAATCTGAGAAAAATGAATACAGAAAGAGAGAAAGAGAGAGAGAGAGGGGGGAAAAAAAAGAAGAAAATGTTTAAGAAAGAAAATTATAAAGCAGACGACGCGTTTTTTTTTTTTTTTTAAAATGTAATTAATAAGTAAAATAAAAAAAATTTTGTTTATGTCTTGTAACGAACAGAAGGAGCAGAAAAAGAAGAAGAAAAAAAAAACAAAATTAATACAATAAACTATTCAATTACAACGACGACAACAACAACAGCAACAGCAGCAGAAGAAATAACAACAACAACAAAAAAATCGAATTAAATGTAAATAAAAAAATATAAAAAAAATAATAATTTTATAATAAAATTTTTTAATTATTTTTTAATTATTATTATTATTATTATTATTACTATTATTATTACTATTATTATTGTTAATTCACAATCCGCCATATTTATTTATCATTTAAAAAAAAAAAATCTACTTAAACACACACACCAGATCTTATCAGTGCATTATCATTATCATTATTAAAAAAAAAAACAGCAAAGTTTTCATTTTATTATTATTATCATTATTATCATTATTATTATTATTACCATTATTATTACGACGATAA